AGTAAAACTAAGTTTAAAGAAGACTCGGGACATTGACGACAAGGTTCAACACAAGCATGTCGAAAGTGATAACAAAGAAAAGAAGACAGAAGTAGGGAAGTGTCTGTCCGACAGTACAGAAAGCAAGAACATGAGTTGTGTCACAGGATCGACAACCAAGAATTCTCCTGGAGGTTTAAGGAAGACGGACGAGGATATCAACCGTTTAGAAGAAAAACAAGATTGTTCCTCACAGAAGATCAATAGGAGGCTTGAGGGAGGAGGGCAGTTACAGAAACAGAGAAACTGCAGTGCTATTACAAGACCAAATCAGAAAACAACACAAAGCTCTACAGTTGCAAGACCAACGCAAAAACCAGCACAAAGCTCTACAGTTTCAAGACCAATGCAAAAACCAGCAGAAAGCTCTACAGTTGCAAGACCATTAATGGAAAAAACAACACAAAGTATCAACGATATGAAGAGTTCGGGAATGAAGTTTGAATCAAGTAAAAGAAAATTTGAGGAAAGGGTTGCTGAGCAAAAAAATGCCAAGAGAAGGATCATAATGGTGGACTTCCATGATATGCCGAAACCAGCTAAAGATCCTTCTGCTCCCAAACGCTGCTGGGATAAGAGGAGGAGATTTTGAGATTCTCATTCGATTTGTTGTGAATTCCCATCGTGTTTCTTCTGTTTTGTCTTTAAATTGTAGACAGAATTATAATTCACTTGACTATTTTACAAGTAGTCCTATGTATATGCCCTTTGTATATGTAAACTAATATCAAATCATTGAAATAATAGTTAATTACAGTTTCAAAAATAGTGCTGTTCAAATTCTTGAAGAATCTATTATTCATTACCTGCTCAGATTATTCAGTTACTAATCAAGGCTAGGATTTTGTTACTGCTTCTACTACGACAAATCAGAATTATTTAATGTGCATTATCATCTAACTCTTACTTTGGTCCTGCTTTCACTTACATTGGTGCATGCAATCAGGATGGGATTTGAATATGCTAAGCTACATAAATTCAAGCGTTCCAGCCTTAAATAAGCGCAGAGCTACACTGTTTACTAGTCGTTTTAGGCATACATGCTACTCAGAAGACATTCCTTTCAATTTCAGATCAGTTGAAAGCCTTCGAGATTTTTGAGTAAGAAGTATATGACTGTAGTACATTAGCACTGCTTATCCTAATAGGTAAAGTTTAATGGTTCCATCACTTTTGCTAGCACATAAGAAGCAACAAACACTTACTCTGAGTCCCCAGGAGAAATAAATATAAACTGATTTTCTTACTTGATATGCCGACTAGTGTCCTGGTCCAAAATGTGTTTAATACTTAAGTTGCAATATGGAAGGATCCAAAGAATAAAATGATGGCATGCACTTAAAACTGTAGTAATAATTTCATAATTAGGAAGATTGTCCAAGTAGCAATTCCAAAATGAACAAAAGTTGAAGCAGATAATGAATGAAATAAGTTTTACTGTTTGTTGCAGGAAAATCAAGACGAAACTATAATCCTTAGGTTTGTTCATACTACATCTAGTACATAGGAATCCTTTCTGAGAGCATGTTTCTTATAAGTAGCGTGTTTCATTGAGAAATTATTATTACCCTTCAACTATGTCAAAATGTAAAATGATGGACCTGTCTACCCATACATTAGGATATAAGGAGGTAAGATTTTACGTCCTCTTCTTTTAACTTTTTTAGATACATATACTGGTAGATGCCCATGCTAAACTCCTCGATTTAACTAAGAAGAAAAAGGTACACAGATATCATCAAAGCTACAAGAATGGCTAACAGCTGAATATATATGAAGTTATTGAGCAAACTATGACAATTTATTGGCTATTTTAGTTAATGAAACAACATGAAGCACATTGAAGCTACAAGAATAGTATAAGGGAGTGCTCTTACAATATTAGTTAGTCATAAGTTCAATTAGGAAATGGAGGCATTGGGATATCAACAACCCCTTCCAACATAAGTACTACCCTTCTCATGGAGGGCCTGATATTTGGATCCTCTTGAATGCACCAAATCGCTACTTTTACAAGCTTCTCTAGCTGCTTCATGTCGCTTAGTGCCTCTTCATCGTCTTGTACTAGCTTATGTAGCATTCTCGAGTGGATACAATCATAGACCCACTCGATCAGTAGTATTTCCTCTTCATTCTCCATTGCGATGTCCATACACTTCCTGCAACAAATGGTTTCTAGCAAAACAATGCCATAGCTATAAACATCCACTTTGGCTGTCACAGCTGTGTTCCTGAACCATTCTGGTGCAACATAGCCTCTGGTCCCTCAAATCCCCGTTAGTGTCCGAGTTTGATCCTTCATCAAAAGTTTTGCCAATCCGAAATCAGAAATCCTTGCTTCAAATGAATCATCCAGCAGGATGTTTTGAGGCTTTATATCGCAATGGATGATCTGTGTGCTGCACTCCTCGTGCAAATACAAGATTCCTCTTGCAACCCCATATACAATTCTGATTCTTTTGTTCCATTCTTGCCTTGACTGACCGAAAAGGAAGTCTGCCAAGGAGCCATGGCTCATAAACTCATAGACCAAAAGCTTCTTTTCTGGTCCTTCATCACAGAATCCAACCAATCTCACCAGATTCTTGTGATGAGTCCCGGCTATTACACTGGCTTCTGTTTTGAATTCGTTCTCACCATCATTTGCTAGCTTGTCTAGTTTCTTGACTGCTACAACAATTCTTGAATTTGAAGATGACAACTCTCCTTTATAAACTGTGCCGAAAGCACCCCTTCCAAGTTCTAGCTTGAAACCATTTGTTGCTACCTTAAGCTCTTGGAAAGTGAAGTTTCTCAAATTTGTCTCCGGGATGCTTGATGAACCAACACATCGTGGTCTTCTACGGTAAACATATAAAGCAATGAGGGATGCCAAAAGAGCAAAGTTGAAAAAGGCAGAGGTGCCAAGGAGAACTGATCCCAAGATGGAAAATGCTGACTTGTCTTTCTTCCTATTTCCCCTCTGTGATGGCGAATATGGGAAATCACCGGAGGGGATACTAGATATCAACACTTTAACAAAACCCTTGCCGTCAACCTCTTCCCTCCTTCCATTAGAAACTGGCATCTTCTTTTTATAACAGGTTCCCTTTTTTTCTACTGCAACCACACAATTACAGTCATACAAACAAGAGTTCTGGCATTCATCTTGATTAAGGGAGTCCATTATCTCATAGTTTGCAGAATTAGGCCAAAATATGTTATCTAAAGGATACGTATCATACAGATCTTCCGGATTAGTATCATTCAAATTGCATCTTTGGATTGGATCGCGTTCACAACCCTTGAACTCATTGCTTGGATCAGAAAAGTTAAATCCGGGAAGACAGTTACAATTTGGCCTTCCATTTGAGTTAAGCATGCAATAGCTATTGAAACCACAAGTCCCAAGACCAAATTGACCCTGAATGGCTGAGCAGATATCATCTAGTTTAGACCAAACTCTGAACCAGCTCCCCTCCCACTTTCCGTTTCTTGGCGCCCTGGGATGAGCATATTGGGTTAACACACCATCATATTCAAGAATAAGCCTGTAATAGTAGTCTCTTGCTGGAACAATATTTCCAGAAGTTATATTCACAATCCTACTGCTGGTCATAATAATATAAAGGTAACCAGACTCATTAAAGATTAGCCTGTTTCCCGTCACATTAGAATATTTTGTATCAACCGTGTCGCTCCAAAAGTATGCCTCGTATGCATTTCCTGTTGGCAGTGCAAAGGTGTTGAGCACAAGATTGCCATCGGGTATCAAACGAAGCTCAAAGTGCCCCCTCAAGAAGTTATTCTCTGCTGTCCTAGAAGACAGTGAGTTTTTAGTGTCAATTATTTGTGTAGGCAAGATTGTATCACAAGGGTGGTCAAAACTTTGCCACACAAGACTAGAATCGCTGCTAGCAAGGATGAAATTCCCTGTATCCAACAACGAAGCATAAGAAACGCCTATGTCTCTAATAAGACTTGGTCTCCAGAGGACTTTACCATCTGGATTCTCAAGAATGAGTTCACCATCTGTTTTAAGCTCAAGTTTAGATCCTTCTGGGGCTAGCTTATCTCCATTTGCATACCAAACCAATGTTTTGTTTGGTATTTTGTCGAACCAGATAGCAAGCAAGTAAAGTTTTTGACCTTCTATTTGATGAAAGCGAAAGGCAAAGTCACCAGAAGGCGATTGCCATGCTAGAGAATTAACTGATGCAACAAGGAACGACCCAAGAGTGATGTTTCTGTTACTACTAGAATTAGTAGCCTGCGCAGATGCAACCAATGGTGTTGTAAGAAAAAGAAGAAGAAAGCCAAGAAGATGGTTTCCCATATGGGATTTTAGATTATCACAGTATTGGGAAAATTGACAAGTACAAGTGAGAGTAACTGAGAGAGGTTTACACAGTCTACATTACGTATTGCCTTGTAACGCGCTATTCCTACATCGACAGAGCATTTGTTTGAACAAACCAAAATCCACGTCATTTATTAGTCTTCCTATTTATTTCCAGAAAATGGAGTCATTATCAGGAAATTACTCCTACACTAATCTCATGTTTCTTTCGGGAAGAAAAGAAAGACTTTGAATTTTCAAACTGAGTAGTCAACTGACTAGTCTTCCATTAAGTATCCACATACGTTTACCCTGTTGAAATACCCTTCCAACTAAAAGAGGGACTGATACATCATTCATTATTCCCTTTATTATTTAAAATGATTCAAGCCAGCTTGCGCGCACCTCGACTATTTCACCGGGTACCTGCTATCTCCTACCACCACATACAACTTTGCAAACGTCTCTACTGGATTTGAACCTTGGTTTGTCGTGTTTTCTCACGCTTCATTGACCATTAGGCCATTACCTTTAGGTGCCATATACAGCCTTATTCTCTTAACTCTAAATTTATCTGCCATGCTTGACTGAATTTCCTCTGATTCCAGCAAACAATAATCTCCTTTGTAACAGAACAAGAAGATGAGCAACACAGCAAAATAATTTATAATAATCAAATGAGGATAACAAATAAGCTAATGAATATGATAATAGGTTCAAAATCTACACAAACAATCAACAGAGCAAAACAATCGGACCAGTGTTTGTTTTACATCCCCTCAACTCAGTATCTCGTATTCATTCTTCCCGAAACACATTCTTCTATAATAGGAAGAGGATCTTGTAAAGGAAATCATTAAACTGACTACCTTGCCGGTCTAAGTTTTAGTTATATCATCTTCTAGAAACCTGCCCATCCAGCAGGTTGGGAAGCTGATTTGCTATTTACATTCTTTGGTTCACCAAAATGCTGATAATTTTTGGACTCGTTGAAAGTAGTAGCCTTTATCTGAGAGCTGGAAGCTGGCACAGCCCTAAAGCTATCTGTTCCAAATCCTGATGTATTTGTTTCAGATGTCTGTCTGTTCTGGTGGCCATTTTTTGTCCTGACTGATCTAGGATTAGCATTAACTTGCTTTGGATCATCATCAGCAAATGCTTGCCAGGGCTTTGAATCTGGGCTCACTTGACTCCCACCAAATAATCCTTGCTCAAGTTCCCATACTGTTCCTTCAACGTTATCTTTTCTCTGCATCAAAAAATTATTTTGAACTGAAATTTATTGAAAATCAATTATGAATATTAGTACCAACAATGAGAGTTTAATAGCAAAGGATATACCGGTGGTGGAATACTGGATGGTTGACTTCCAGGAGAAGCTTGATCCCTCGCGGTGTCTCGATTTGGTGATGGAGTACTGACAGCAAGAGCTTGTTTAAGCTCTTGTATCTCTTGTCGCTGTGACCGGCATATTGCAGATAGCTTTTCAAATTTTGATTTTATTTCAGCCTTCTCCATGTTGGCGCGTGACAGTTGTTCCTTCAGCTTCTCAACCTCTGCTTCCAAGAGCTCTTTCTTCTCTGGTTGTTTCGTGTTATTTCCAGGGCTTGGTTTATTGGTAGAGAATTCTGTAACAAAAGCATTGAATGCTTCACCCTGGGTGACAGTTGACCCCTCTAACTTTGAAGATTTATTACTCCCAACACTCTGACATGAATCATCCTGGAAAAAGTTTATTTCAAAATCCTTTGATGAGGCTTCCCCTGCTCTATTAGCTGGTTTTGCTCGCACATTATTTTGCATTGGATGGGAACTAAGACTTTCCTCTTTTGAGGGGCTAGTTTTATAAGAGGCTGGAACCTTATTGGGATGACTCTTATCATGGTTTGAAGAATTGTGCCTATTCTCTTCGTCAAATTTGGGTCTGGATGTTTCCTCTGAACCAGAAGCAGTTGCTGCATGCTGACTATTCCAAAATGCACCGATTGGACCAGTAGCTCCACCAGCTTTTGAATTATGTGATGCAGGAGACACATTCTGATTAGATTCTGCAGCCAAAGGAGGTGGTGGAGGATTTTTGCGAGGCATTGGACTAGTCTTACCTGCAGCTCTTGGAAATCCTGAAAATTCAGCAGGTATTAGATTCCTTGAAGTGGACCCACAATTTTGTGTCTTAGTAATGTCTACAGTCACAACGTACTAGAGGTGTCACATCCATATGAAAAGCTCCTCACCTACCCCCCCCCCCCCCCACCCCCAGACTGTGACGACTATTTTCACTAGTTTCAAAGGCTTGATTGACCCTTGGGATTGAATCTGGCTAGGGGGAAGATGTGAATTTGCATGTTATATTACAAGCATCACTCAAATATATCAACTGTACAGTAAATATGGAAGCATATAAACACCTAATCTCTTTGTATAGATTTGAGGGTATCATTCCTCAAAAGCATCTCCTTACCTTTCATTAGTTGCATAGCTTTTCCAATTCTATAACAACTTCCAAAAATGTTTTTTCATCTTGGACTTCAAATACCCTTTTTTTTCTCAACTTCAACCAAATATTGTCCCCAACACCTACTAAAAACTTCAGATGACTTCAAACCAGAACCGGAAAGGAGACTTCAGATTTTAAAAAACTGATGGAAAGAATTTAGATGAGGGAAATTAGTTCTTTATTACGTATAAAAATAGTGGGTTAAATGAGTAAATTGCCTGAGTGCAGTAATTTATCCAACGTTATCATCCTACAAACTTCATGGATAAAATATTAATCAATCACAACTTTCGTGGAAGTAGCTCACAATAAAAACAAAAGGTCTGGAAAAAAATGTCCTCACCTTCCTGTCCATCAATACCCTGTTGCTTCATTTCAGGGGGTCTGTTGGGTAACGACTTCTGAAGCTCATCCGGCAACATACCATTAACACGGAACCATACCTGCCATAAAAAAAATGAATGAGTTAGAAAGATTTAGAGTAGGGTCAGCCCTTATGATTGCTATGGGCAGCACCACTCTACAACTAACCTAAGTTTATGCAGATGAATGGCCAATCAAGCAAAGCGCTTGCCTGCGTGATATCTGGTCTGGCATCTGGTGAAGACTGAAGCATATCTCTTATTAGGTCTACAATGGAAGTGCTATATTTTGGTAATTCTGGAATCCGGTAATTGCCATTTAAAACTTGAAGTTTTGATTCACCATCAAATGCAGACTTGAGGTAGCATATCCGAAAGAGTAGACAGCCAAGGGCCTGCAAGACAAAAGTGTCACTGTGTTCTAAGATAACCTCGTAAAATCTAGGTAAAAGAATTTTCTGTTTCCAAAATCATCTTACAGTATCTTCACGCTGCTAAACTTACCCATATGTCTACCTTCTCATTTATAATTTCTCTTCGATACAAATCCCACATCTAAAGCAAGAAAAGAAGTGAGATAAGATAGAAGTCAGCAATCAATACCACTGACGATAACAATAATCAATAACAAGTCCTCAATCAACCTCAGGAGCTCTGTATGCAGGTGTAGTGTGTTTCCTTATATTGTCCTCCTCAATTCCCATTTCCTCAGGTTTCTCAAAACGCTTGTGGTTCGTTGAAGTACTGCCAAAATCACACAACTTCCATAATCCATCAGCACCCAGCAAAAGGTTCTCAGCCTTTAAATCTCTGTAGAACAGGAAACACAGTAATGAATAGCAAAACAACAAAATCACAAGAGAAAATGATGTGAATAAATTCAGTGTTGAAGGGTGACGATTTCACAATGAATCGGATCTCTTAACTGTTCATTTTGTGCGTCTAAATTTCTAAATCAACAGAACCATTAGAGCGGTCATTCAGTAGTTCTAACCAAAAACAAGGGAAAGCATAACTGGCAGAAAATCAAAGGCAACAACAACAACAACGACCCAGTAAAATCCCACAATGGGATTTGGGGAAGGTAGTGTGTACGCAGACCTTAGTCCTACCCCGAGGGAGTAGAGAGGTTGCTTCCGATAGACCCTCGGCTCAAGAAAACGAGAAGTGACAATATATTAGTACCATCAACAGAAACCATAGAATGGCAGAAAAACCAAAGGCATTGAACAAAATTAAGCTGGAAGCAAATATATAGACAGATATGAATAACATGACAACATATTTAACATACAAACTACTGAAATATTACAAGCAAAGAAAGGAATTATGAAGCCCTAAATCACTAAACAGATGAAACATTTTGAAGACTACCACAAACAAAGCCTAAGCTCAACTGAAATTACTACAAACATTCATCATCATAATTTCAAAAAACTATTCGGGCTTAAGAGTGTCCGACTTTACCTGTGAGCTATGGGTGGGGACTGGCAGTGCATAGCAAAGACAGCATTGCATACATCCCTGAATATTAAGAGGACTTGTTTCTCCTCAAAGAAGCCAGCTCCTCGGTTCTCAAGGACACTGACCAAGGATTTCTCACAATATTCCATAACAAGGAGAGCTTCCTTTGTACGACCCATATCCAAGAAGGTATGCGCATTTAGTGTGACAATATTAGGATGGCCCTTCAGCGATTTCATCACTGAAATTTCTTTCAGTACTAGATCAAGTGATTCTTCATCATTAACAATAATATGCTTTAATGCATACTGCTTTGAACCATGTAGTACATCTCGGGCTAAATAAACACAAGAAAATCCGCCCTCTGCAATTGCATTGCGTACATGAACCTTGAGACTGCCAATATCAATGGTGCGACCTTCAAGCCCAGCCTGTTCCTTGGGCATAAAAGGTTTGAATCTCCACATCATAAACAATTCTATCAAAACAAAAAACCACTAAGAATCATGGCAAAGATAAGAGATTTAGCTAAATAAACAGTCAAATTAAAATCTCTTTGCAGTAAAGTGAACCAGCTGTACAACCAATATGAAAAACAAAAAAGCACATGTGCTTTTGGTGGTGTTTGGAGTTCTCCAAAAACTGAATTTGCAAATCCAGGTTTTGGGTTTTGGAAAAAGTGTTCCTTTGACTTGTTTCCAGAACAAACATAACTTTATGTGAAGATTTCCAAACTGAGTTTTCCAAATCTCTCAGTTTTTGCAAACACACCCAAACAAACACTTTTCTCAAGGGTCAAAGCTGAGTTTGCAAACTCAAGTTTTGGAAGACGGAAAACCTCAAAGAAACACCACCTTACTAATTTTTGATTATCCTAAAATGGATACCGGTAACACTGCAGATATTTACATTAGAGAGGCACAAACAACGAGATTACCACAAAACTTCACTCCTACAAATGCAACAAAAAGTTGTTGAACATTTTCCAGAGATGGATATTTTCTTCTTTTGGCGCGAGGAGGGGGAGGAATGTGGTCAAAATGTAAACTTCCATAAAATCAGGAATAACAAACTAGTATAATTACAAATTTAGACCATGTTTAATAAGCTAATCAGATAAATGAAATAGGCATGCACAGGAGCTGCAGGTCTTTGAATCAGATAAATATTTCTGATGACACATAGGAAAACTCAAGAGCCTTGACCGATCAGAAAAGAGTCCTGCTTCACTAATATATACTATTGTCTATAAGGCCCTGCTACACTGTATTATTACTGACAAATGTCGGAAGGTTTATCCATACCAAAAATAAACTTTAATGTAAAGAGATATTTATGATAAAAGAACATTATCATAGAAAGATAATCAAGGAATCTATCCACTAATCAACCAATAGATTCTGAGCTCCATCATATGCCTGAAAGATTTTGTTTAGGACCACTATGACATAAGACAGAAAACAAACAGCTTTTTAGTGATCAATTATTGCACTGGACTGCCACAATGAATGGTGGAACTCCAACATTAAAGACAGTACAGAGATTCATGAATACAATGACACCCACTCTATCCCGTATAACCTATGTGTTACTATTATTATCACCCTGATTGGTTTGCCTTTGTCCTTGTTTTTCTGGAGTTCAGGTGTAGTCTATTGAATGTACCAAGCGTGATCAAAATGGTAGTTTTCTTCTTTCTTCTTAACTGAATAAGTAGATAAAATTGGTCATTAAATGGCAATAACTATCAGAAGAGATGTTTAAACCTGATTATTTTGCAAGCAATGAAGAGAAACACATCAAAATTAATGAGTACACAAACATGCCATTTCTAGCAGAAATTTTCTTCTATAGCACTCAATTAGCCTCCAAACACACACAAACATGCCATTTCCGTGCAGATTAGAATCAATCACATAAAAACATAGATAAACTTCAAGCTTACAGTACTACACTTGCATCCAAGTTTTTCAAATTAGTGAACTTCTTTCTTCTTTTGCTTTTTCCAGGATTAATTTCATAAGAATACATCTTTGCTGGTCTAACTTTTTATTCTTTTCACAGGTACAACAAATTCAAGCTGCTGCAAACTGTTACATCCTGAATTACACAAAATACAGATCAAGGCGAGATAATGCTGTTCAGTCCATTCTCTAATGTAACAAATTTCGATCCTGACCATCTATTAACACTTAAGCGCTACACTACGTCTTAAGAGAACATTCATAGCACTAACCCTGCATGTTTCCAGAGCTGTAGGACACTTCTTATTGACAACATGAAATGCCAAAAATGTAGATATAACTTGTATGCTTCACCTTAAGAAATACTGAAGTTAAATAATTGGATGTAGAAGTTCCAAGATATTAATGTCTTATCAGGCAATGGATCCAAACTTCCCTAAAAAGATTCTTTATCTTTAACCAAAATAGTAAACTAGCAGATCCATTTCCACCCCAGAACAGCTCCAGGATATCAAATTTTGGTCAAGCAAATAAATCAGGCCATTCATATAAACAATCAAACGCAGATTTCATAGTATTCTACACGAACCAATTGAGATTGAATAAACATAATTTGCAGTAGTAAAACATTGATAGTCCAAGAATCAACTTATCTGAAAAACTGAACACTACCCAATTGCAGTAAATCCAAGAACTTACCAAAATTGGTGTAAAAAATCTACCTTGATTAAGTATGTTATCAAGAAAACAAACCACCCCAGATCAAGAAAACAGAGAAAATTTCCTAAAGTGACTGCATTAAGCAGCAGCTTTTGATGTAAAGTTGGTGAGATCTGAGAACAAAGGATTTGGGTTCTTGGGATTGCTATTGAGATCTAAGAGAAGTGTATAGTAATATTCGGGAGGGGTTTCGATAGATCGCGTTTTTGGCCAAAGCTCCTATGGCTTTTTATTCTAAGGCATCACTTTTTTTTTTTCCACATAAGTGGTGAGCTTCTTTTTTAATTTTTTCCTTCTTTTCAGTGGTGATGTTTCATCTGCTTCCTATCACTATTCTTTTTCCTGTTTTTTACTCTATCAAGACGTGTATTTTACCCTTTTCTCGTCTTTCTAATATTCAAAGGGGGGAAAAAGGAAATAGTGGTAGTCTAATAGAGAAAATCATTACGTAATTTATGAATTTAAAGACATTTAGGAAATCTATGATTTTAAAACTATCACCTACTTTAAAAAAACGGTCATAATTATAACTAAAAAGCAATCAACCAGGCGATAGATAATACAAAGGTGTTCCCTAATTTTATCAAGATCTCTCACATTATAAAACGATGTTGGTAATGACTAATAAGCAATCTACTGAAGATCACATAGGCGATTATATATAATAATGGGCAATTTCTTGATAATACACATACTATCTATGATTTCACAGAGATCTCCCATACTATAAAAACGATCTAAGTAATAACTAATAAACGATCAACTAGAGAGCACTTAGACGGCCATAAATAATATGAAGGATTTTTAGAAAATACATAAGCGATCCATGATTTCACCTTGATCTTCCACTTTATAAAAAAGGGATCCTGGTAAAACCAATAGGCGATCATAAATAATACATGGAGGATTTGTAAGTAACACAAGGCGGTCTATGATTTCACTAGGGTCTCTCACCTTATTAAAAGGATTATGGCAATAACTAATAAACGACAAACCAAATATCTCTTAGACGATCATAAATAGTATCCAACATCGACAATCCAAAATTTCACCGGGATAACAATTCTTGTAATAACTAATGAGTGATCAATCGAGATTATTCAGGTGACCGTAAATAATACATGAGTTACTTCTTGATAACACATAAGCAATCTATGGTTTTATTAGGAAGACTATTAAAAAAGGATCCTGATAATAACTAATAAGTGACAAACTGGAGATAACTTAGGCGATCTATTAATTCATCAGGATCTCACACTTTATAAAAAAATGATTTAGGTAAAAAATAATAAGAGATGCACCGAGATCACTAAGTCGATCATAAATAATATTTGTGTGACTTCTAGGTAACATATATGTGACCTATAATTTTACCAAAATTTTTTACTTTACAAAAAAAAAAAAAAACCCTATAATAACTAACAAACAATCAACCAGAGATCACTGGGGTAATTATAAATAATAGATGAACGATTTCTCGAAATACATAAGCAATCTATAATTTCACCGGGATTTCTCTTCTTTTTCATAAAAATAAAAATTCAGGTAATAACAAATAAACAATTAATTAAAGATCACTTAGGTGATGAACTGATGATAAATAATACATGAGCAATTTCTAGAGAATACATAAGTGATATATGATTTCACCGAGATCTCTCACTTTATAAAATAAGGATCATGCTAACGGAGTAACTAATAAGTGATCAATAAAAAATTTCTTAGGTGATCATAAATAATATATAGGCGGTATAAGATTTCATTAGGATATCGCACTTTATAAAAAATGATCCTCGTAATAACTAAATCAATTGGGGATCACCCAAGGATCATAAATAATGCATGAGGTATTTCTACATAATACATATCTAGGATTCACCACGATCTCCCACTTTATAAGAAAAATATTCGGTAATAGCTAATAAACAATCTAACTATAGATCACTTAATAGTTTATAAAAAACAAATCATGGAATAATTTTGATAATAATTAATAACCAATCAACGAAATAAGTTAGATGATCCAGTGCACCAGATACTTTTTAGAAAATAAAAAGTACTATCATCTTCCCCATTTACACCACCAAAGGATCTGGTGTACTGGATGAGACTTCTTCCCTTAACCAGATATCTCGGATTCGAGCCCCTGAATATGGAAAAATCCTTGGTAGGGAGCGCTTCCCCCGAATGAGGTCCTACGCGGCGCGAATCCGGATATAGTCGGGCTCCAATACGGGTATCGGACACCGGATGGGAAACCAAATTCACAATGCTTAGCAAATAGTCAAGATGAATCCTTTGAAGAAATGGGCTTGAGAGAACTGAAAGCATAACTAGTTTGGAAGTGAGGCTTAGTTGATTGATTTATATACTGATAAGACTGCTTATGGGTGCTTTCGGCTGATTACCTTTTACCTAAGTAAGCTGTTAACTGCTTTTGTCTTTACACGGCCAATAAATGGTTGGTTTTCAAGTTGTAATAACATAGCCACGGTGTTTTGAGATTGTTTAGAGATATCATAATTACTTCATTGTACTATCTTGAACTGAAAGCAAAGGAATTAGGCCTTTTGTAATGGAGGAGGAAGAAGAATCAGCTCCAGCGACAAAGCCTCATCACTCAATTACTACTTTTTAAGCAAAGGACTGCTTTTAACGGCCCAAGGTCCCTCACTCAAAGTCCTCCCTCTTTCCCAATTTGATGATAACCTCCTTTTATCAGGTCATCTTTTATACTACTAAAAAGTGAGATACACTGCACTTGAGGGGCGTGTTGAAGATCAATTAAACAGCTACTATAGGTGTAAGTAATTGTGTTTTCTGCAGTTTGCATTTGATAAATGATGAAAGAAATTGTGTTATCTAATTAACTAACAAATCTAGAAAGCCGTAAAACTATCAATTAACAAGGATAAGGATTGGAGTCAAGATTAAGGAGGTCTAGAGTTATGATTTCCCCAATTGTCGGAATCCTTCCCGCTACGTTTTCTATAAATTCGCCTAAGTATTCTCTACCGATCATGAGCGCTCTGACTGTCGTAGCTCTCTCCCGAGTAATTACCACAATTTACTAGACGCACTCTCCCGAGTTACGCTAGCTGGATTTGTTTATTACAACTCACTTTAGATTGCACCCAAGGCTTCGTTATCCCTAATCTCGCCTTTAAACCCGTAGTTATAGATCCCTCTTATACTTTGGGAGTGGTGTTGTTCAACAACTACCTAAATATACACTCTCTCCCGAGTTATGCACACTAAATAGGCACAGCTAATTGAGGATCCTGTCAATCAACTACAACAAACACGTAGTTGAACAAATAGAGAAAATACTACGGCTCAATTATATAAAAATAACAAGAATGTATCCTACAAAAGGTTCCATCAAAACCCTAGATAACAAATTAGCTATTCATAATAGCATGTAAAACTACAATACTAAAAGTCATAACCAACAATGAAAAATAGGAAGAGGAAGGAAAAACTCGTAGAAGAATTCCCCGCCTTGCTCCTAGCGTGTTCTTGCCTCCAAGGGTGTTGTCTAACCCTAAAGTAGTGTCCCTCCCTCCAAAGTGGTGTTTTAGGATGTATTTATATGACCTAGGGTTGATGAGTGGCGGAATTCTTCAATCCAACTTCGGATGGGAGAGCTGGAATCCGCGTCTGCCTTCGCGTCTAGACGCGGACTTTGACGCGGATGCAGCTTTTGAAATTCTTCCATTTCGCGAAGCGCTCCGTGCCTTTGCTTCGCTTCGCTGTTTTGTGCCTTAATTTTTCTCCTTTTTCGCGTCCGACTTCGTGCCACGCACGAGAGTAGACGAGCTCCCACTCCTTTAATTTCTTCTTTTTGTGTCGAATTGTCATCTTTTGATCATTTATCATCCAAACTCGTTCCTACACATAAGAAACACATAATGAGTATATTTCACTTCGAAAATCATGTAATCTCCCGCGACACACACAAGAATTAATATGCAAATATACTTAAAAATATGCACTTTTCATCATTTATCAATACCCCACACTTAAACTCTTGCTCGTCCTCGAGCAACTTAAAATTGAGCGCATAGGCAAGAATACCTTTTTAAACAATTCTCCTAACTCATCACACCAAGAGTATTTAAAATAGACTAAGCACAAAAGCGTAACATCTTCACCTCAAGATTTGACTCACAAGTACCACGCATTATTCACAACTCACCCACTTAATCTAACATAGAGGTCACTGACATTACCTTTCCTTCATAATCAAGTGCCCTCACACAACAAAAGAGAGGAGTTCCACACAATAAAATTTAAGAACACTTAGGAACTCAAGATAGAAAGAATTCACTCACTCTCAGAAATAATATTCATATGCCACAAAAGATGCACCATAAGCTTGCCCATAGTGTACTACTCCACTAATCGAGCTCATTCAATCTAGGATCAATTAGGACTTTATTTGGTTGTAATGTAGGCTACGAGACGGGTAGGATACATTTAGATATAAGAGTGACTACACCTCCCTAAGCACTTTAATACATATACTTTAACATTCAAACCCCATACTTATGTCAAACCAAAACTCCACCTTTACATCACTGTATATTACCCCGTACTTTTTTAAGCACAATTACAGCAAGAGTCACTACTTATTAAAGAAAAACTTTTTTTTCACCAGCAATACAACTATATTTTTTTTTCCAATTCAAGTGGCTCTTACTTGTTCAAAACAGTGCACCTTTCTCCTGATTTCATTAGTTCCACTCAAAAGCCAAACCGACCACCCCACACTTTAACATTTACCTAAATCATCACAATTCAAGTGCTCCTGAGAGGTTAGAAGGTTCAAATAGATGGTTAATTCAAACAAATGGGTAAGGCTTGTAATGTGGTTGCCAAATAAACAAGATTACAGGCTCAAAGGGGTTAACTACGATACATAACAATTAGGTGGGTAAAATATACATATCTGGCTCAACAAGGAAACGCCTATATCACTTCCAAGACTGAACAACACTACTATTTCGCTTTGCAAACACACGGGGCAAGTTCTAGGCATCAAATGCACTGCACAGAATAACACCTAAACCTCACACACACATGGCACATAACTCACTCAGGATTGGATTCATCAAGACACTCTAGTCAAAGCAGTTAAGCAAAGTTAAAATCATACAACTTAAGGTACTTATACAAGAGTCAAAAACTGAGCCTAAGCGTCACAACCAAAGTACTCACTATTCTTAAGGCATAACAAAGTCAAGAGATATTGCTTCAATTCAAAACACAACACAATGGCTCCTACTCCAAAAAAAAAATTACACCCGGTTCAAATAAAACCCTTGGAAAAGAACCGC